AACTTTTTATTCATCAAAGAATCCTGAAAAAAAGTATGCAGTTTCCAAAAAAATATTTGGCAGCACAACTGTTGCCAACATTGATAATTCTAATAATAAATCAGCATATTAGAATGATTTCTGAAGATCATGTGACGCTTTATACTGGAGTAATGATGATGGAAATTCATCTTTGCATCACAGAAATAAATTATATTTTAAAGGATATTAAAATAGAAACCATTATTTTATATTGTAATAACATTTTGCAAGATTACTGTTTTTTTGTGTATTTTTGATCAAATAAATGCAGCCTTGATGAGCAGAAGAGACTTCTGTAAAAACATGACAAGTCTTACTGATCCCAAACTTTTGACCGGTAGTGTATATGTAATGAGAGTAATGTCGTTTTTCGCTCCCACGACAGAAAGTAAAGATACAGCGGCGGCGGGGTCCAATCGTCCAGGCGGTGCGATCCGCGTCTACGGTGATGAGAGCGGTGATAAAGTCACGGCGGGAACCTCTGTGCCCTTCTGCTCCATGGCTCACGCCCAGCTGTGCTTCCACGGACACAGAGACGCCGTCAAGTTCTTCGCCGCAGTCCCAGGTAGAGCAATGACCGCGAGTCAGAGTCCCATAGTAGGGAACTATGAAGTACATTGTATTTTTTTCCCCCATGTTCTGATTTAGTTTTCTGGATTCTATTTATTTTATTAAAGCAATAAGACCCAAGAAGCCGTGATTTACAGTGAATTTATAACAGCTAAGGGGCGTTGTTAGGCACGACACGAAGCCACAGCTTCTTGGGGCTTATTGCTTTTATAAAATGGTTATTCCATATACGTAGTAAGGTTTCACAAAATAAAACAGAGCAAATAAAGTGTAATGTTATTAATAAAAACAGTATTCTTCCACCAAACAATGTAGCTCCTCAGAAACAGTTGTGGTTGCAACAAAGTGGTTGCCGAGCAACACACAAACGTAAACAAAGGTGTATGTTACTTTGTAGAGTCATTTACAACAGCTTCGAACGCGGCTCAGCCAATCAGAATCAAGGACCGGAACTATCCGTTTCATCATTTATCTTTTAACAGCTTTCCAAATATTTGTTCACAACATAGTTAAAAATAGTCAACAAATATGTGGTACAAGTAGTCTAGTACAATAGAGATCAGTAGAGACATTTTTTGTCTTTTTGGACTCTATTTTAATTAAGAAACCAAAAAGCATGTGTAATTTATTGAAATCATGAAACATATACAATTTAACAAACTAAAATTGAACTTTTTAATTTTTTTCTAGTTTCTGTTTTTTTATTTCCCATTTAATTTTTTCCATTTCAGATAAATGTTAGTAATCATAGAGCTTGTCTAATTAATTTAATTCATAAAACTTTAACGGTTTAATAATTTATAAGAAATTTGACAAATTATACATGGGGATGAATAAATATAAAAATAAATGAACATATAAATGAAAGAATAAAAAATACTATTAAAAATAGATAAAGAAAATAATAATAAATAAAGTGAGAAAACATAATACAAAATAAAAATTAATTGTATTTATTTTAGCAAGTCATTTATTTATTAATTTATTTATTTATGCAGGTTTGGTCCTCTATATTTTAGTGCCCTATAAATTCCATTTAATTATTATTATTAGGTTTTTGTTTTTGTCTTTTCTGTTTTAATTTTAGTAGTCTAAAAGCATATCTAATCAATTAAATTCATAAAACTAAGTTTAACAATTTATTACATTTTCTACAATAATAGTGCCCTAAGAAATTATTTTTTTTTTTAATTTTATTTATGGATTTATGATTTAATGCAAATTTATTATCCAAAACAGTAGCAATCAAATATATGACCCTGGAGCACAAAAGCAGTGTTAAGTCGCTGGGGTATATTTGTAGCAATAGCCAACAATACATTGTATGGGTCAAAATTGAAATCTAAATTTCCAAAAATTGACCCTTATGACTGGTTTTGTGCTCCAGGGTCACATATAAGCTTAAAACATGAACAATCTTTAAAATGTAAACCAATGCAAATTTACCCATTTTAAGTGCTGCACAGCAGAAGTTTACTGTCAGAACTGAAGCATGCCACTTCAGATGCAGCTTCTGTGCCAAAGATGGATTTAGTTAATAACAGACCCTTAGTGTCTTATTCTAATGGAATGTATCGATCAAATGTAACAATCTGACATAAAAGATGATGCATACATTTAATAAGAGACGGAAATGATCCAGAAATGTTATTTTTGTTTGTAAGACAAAGATGTTTCTACTGTAAATTTGAGAGCTGTGAGCTCATGCCTGTATTAAAGGTCCGTGGTGTTGTTCCTGTGTTGCAGGGCAGGTGATTGCATCTGCGGGGTCAGGGGTCGAGGCGTCCGATTCGCCGGAGCTGGTGAAGTCTGTGCTGGTCGTGAGCGGAGGAGAGGGTTACATTGACTTCAGGATGGGTGAGTGAGACGCGTCCCAGTGCCGCACTCCTGTCAGAAGCGCCTGATTACTCACACGCCTCTCTTCCTATCACAGGAGATGAAGGAGGAGACACAGAAAACATCAACGAACCCACTCTCAACCTGCAGCCCTTGCTGGCCAAAGCTGAACGCAGTCACCTCATCGTGTGGCAGGTCATGACCGGCGAGGAGTGACGTCGCTCCAGACGCGCTTTGGACCTTTTTCAGACGCTTCTGCTTTATTTAAGACATTTCAAGCACTGGCTTATAGCATTTCTACCATGCAAATCACCAAAGAATGACGTATTCAGACTGTTAGTTTGCGCTTTCACTATGAATTGCGCTTTTGCTCTTCATCTTTGGCAAGTGTTTCATTCACGCAGATTGCAAATAATGGACGGTCCGTATTTTTTGGGTGAAAGCACAACGGGATGATGCACAGTGCACTACATCTTAGCTAGAAGAGCTTTTGTGTTGGACGTTTTTGCTGATAAGCGCTTTTTCAATCCTTAAATCATCCACTTTTTTCTTATGAATGTCGCACGGTTACCAAAGGATAGAGAAATCATTTAATAGCTTCATTGATGGATTCTAGATCACTTTGTGTCTCGCAGATCCACGTCACGTTTTGCTCGTTCGCCTATTTTTTAACACTCTTGCAGTTTTCGCAGGAAAGTAGTGCGTAGAGACAAACGCGTGTTTTTATCACTCTTTTGTACACGTCTTTTAGACTCTAATGTAGAGCATCTAGAGCTGCTTCGTTTGCAGGAGAGCAGAAACAACCTCCTGTCGCAAACTAAACTTTGCAGTATTTATTTCTATGAACAAGCCTTTGCAGTTCAGAATGTAACTTTGTACATTGAATATAAATATATACAAAATACAGATATGTATATGAAATGTATGACTGCTTGGATTTGAGTTTTTTTGATAATGTAAATCAGGTTGATTGATTGATTGATTGATTGATTGTGGGCGGATCAAAATAACGGACTACAGAAATGTAAAAAAATCACTGAGCTATGCACTATTTTTAAAGGACAGTGTGTGTGTGAGTGTGTGTGTGTGTGTGTTTAGATGAGTGTGTTATGCACTATTTTTAAAGGACAGTGTGTGTGTGAGTGTGTGTGTGTGTGTGTTTAGATGAGTGTGTTATGCACTATTTTTAAAGGACAGTGTGTGTGTGAGTGTGTGTGTGTGTGTGTTTAGATGAGTGTGTTATGCACTATTTTTAAAGGACAGTGTGTGTGTGAGTGTGTGTGTGTGTGTGTTTAGATGAGTGTGTTATGCACTATTTTTAAAGGACAGTGTGTGTGTGAGTGTGTGTGTGTGTGTGTTTAGATGAGTGTGTTATGCACTATTTTTAAAGGACAGTGTGTGTGTGAGTGTGTGTGTGTGTGTGTTTAGATGAGTGTGTTATGCACTATTTTTAAAGGACAGTGTGTGTGTGAGTGTGTGAGTGTGTGTCTGTGTTGTGTTTAGATGAGTGTGTTATGCACTATTTTTAAAGGACAGTGTGTGTGTGAGTGTGTGTGTGTGTTTGGGTGAGGGTGAGTGTGTTATGCACTATTTTTAAAGGACAGTGTGTGTGTGAGTGTGTGTGTGTGTTTAGATGAGTGTGTTATGCACTATTTTTAAAGGACAGTGTGTGTGTGTGTGTGTGTGTGTGTGTGTGTGTTGTGTTTAGATGAGTGTGTTATGCCAGCATTTTGTGGACTGGAAGAGCGTGCGCCGTCCCATAATCCTCTAGGTTTGGGCACTTCTTGTCTGTAAGAATGGAGCGGACATCTCCCAGAATCCTCTGTTAGTCGTCCCTTCAGTATGTTTATCTCCTCGGCTCATCTTAGCCTTATACATTTTATTAATCTATTAAACTGACATTTTTGGGGAACATGCTGTGTTTTTGCTATTATTATTATTATTATTATTACAAGAGGATTTACAGATGCACTTGTTAAATGATAAAATGTACATCAAGTGTTTGTCTCTTTCTGAGAAGTAACCAAACAACAAAGTGTTAATAAAGCAAAGCAAAACGTCCTTAAGTAAATCTTTACATTAAAAACCGTTTGCAAACCATTTAATGTAAAGATTTACTTAAGGATGTTTTGCTTTGCTTTATTAACAGTTTGTTTGTTTTTGAACGAACTAATCATTTGAATCATTCACTCAACTGATTCATCCAAAACTGATTCAAAACCATTTTGGCTTTGTTTACGGAGCAAAAATTGTAAGTTAACCAATAGGTAATCAGTCTAACTTTGTAATACTAGTCTAAACAGTTTAGGCCCTGTTTGTCAAACGCTGGTGGATCATGCTGTGGTTCCTCTGAGGAGAACTGACTCTATCAAGCTTATTTGTAATGCAGCGCAGCCATTTGTAACATGAATGTGTGAGGCTTTTCCAGTTATTTACAGCAGTTTTATTTTTATGCTGCTTGATATTTTAATGTATTATAATCAAAAACACACTGGTTTGTAGTGCAAACAGTTTTACTGCACTTTGATATTCTTTAGTTATTTACCTATAGCAGTCTTGCACATTCACAGAAAGTGAGCATTATGAAATAACACTAAATCACACTGACAGCAGATTATTAAAAATCATTGCAAAAGTGGCTATACATTTAAGTACTGAATAATATTAATTAACTACTATACTATACTGGACTTACGGTTTAGGATGAGAGTTAGATTTAGGGTTAATTGCATGTTATTATGCATAATTTGTTATCACTGTAGTAAATACATGTAACAAGGACACTATAATATAATTTATTTGCAGGTGCCACTTGGTTTGATATTTTGTTATATGATGCAATGAACATGCAGACGTTTCAAAATGTGACTTAATGCAAAACAGGTGAATTAAAGTATATATTATGAAATGTTTTAAATATGCAAATTAGGCATTCTCTAATTAAATATGCACTAATTTGCATATATTTCCAGAACAGAAATCTAAACATTGGATAAAGCCAGGACCACACTTCTTGTCTGTTTGTTTTTGTTGACGTATTAAAATATTTTTTTTAGAGAATTGATTTTGGATTTTTCTTATCACTTCATAAATCAGAAAAAAAAAAAACATTTTCACCATGTTTTTAGAAATGGATTGGAATATAGATAGGAGTAAAACTATAGGAGATTTCTGAAATATATGTATTGCAACTGAATTCTACGGATGCAAATAGATAAAGTGCAATAAAATAAACACTTTTGGATGTTTTCGTTTCCACTAGTCTGAAAGAAGACATGTTACGGAAGCAAAACAGACCAAAATCTGGATGAAAAACAATGGTTTCTTGCAGTAAATGTCTAAATCTATTTTAGTATGCATATATCTGATGTTGTAGATCTGGCCACAGAAGGGCAGCAGCGTGCCGCTTCATTCCTGCCTTTGAAATGTCATTCAGTGAGGAAAGAGCTGCTCCTCCCCCTCCTGTGATTGGCTGCCGCTGCTACACACAGTATCCTCCCCCTCCTGTGATTGGCTGCCGCTGGTACACACAGTATCCTCCCCCTCCTGTGATTGGCTGCTGCTGGTACACACAGTATCCTCCCCCTCCTGAGATTGTCTGCCTGAAAAACAATGGTTTCTTGCAGTAAATGTCTAAATCTATTTTAGTATGCATATATCTGATGTTGTAGATCTGGCCACAGAAGGGCAGCAGCGTGCCGCTTCATTCCTGCCTTTGAAATGTCATTCAGTGAGGAAAGAGCTGCTCCTCCCCCTCCTGTGATTGGCTGCCGCTGCTACACACAGTATCCTCCCCCTCCTGTGATTGGCTGCTGCTGGTACACAGTATCCACCCCCTCCTGTGATTGGCTGCCGCTGCTACACACAGTATCCTCCCCCTCCTGTGATTGGCTGCTGCTGGTACACAGTATCCTCCCCCTCCTGTGATTGGCTGCCGCTGGTACACACAGTATCCTCCCCCTCCTGTGATTGGCTGCTGCTGGTACACAGTATCCTCCCCCTCCTGTGATTGGCTGCTGCTGGTACACACAGTACATGTTCTAACACAACACACTATTGAACTTCTGAATCAGCACACAGAGCTCTGATCTGAGCCATGAGCACTTATGAGATGTCTAACATGCATTGAGTCTCTCTCATGTCTGTCTCCCTAGCAGAAATCACTGCAGCCCACACAATGAGGAGCTTTTCTGGTCAGGTGAGGTGTGTGGAGCTCATCAAACATTCATGTCGCTTATGTAACCCATCCAGCTGGTGTATGCAGGGAGGTTTCCAAGGGCTTTCCAGGACGCAGTGAGGATGCCTGGGGCTCCTGGACGCTCCTGTGGGGTGTGAAGACTTTCTATATTTGGACAGTTTGGAGATGGACTGACTGACTGTGTTGCTCGCTTTATAAAGCCACACATCTGTCATATCCAGCAATTTCATTTCATCCCCTTGCGCCAAAACAAATAAGCCCCCAGATTTGAGTCTCAGAGCTTTGGCAGATTTATATTGGATTGAGTTTTCATCATTTGGAGCGTTTGTGAACGAACCTGGTGATATTTGCATTATTGGGATTTAGATGTTATATGATGCAGCATCCCGGCGGTGCAAACCCGTCTGTAAACACTTTGGTGCTTCGCTTTTCCACCAGCTTCATTTGCACTTAATGTATAAACCAAAGTTGACAGTGTAATTGGCCATTAGAGACTGAGTGTAATTAGCCGTATGGAGAAGGAATTAACATTTTTATTTCTGTCTTGCAGAGATGTGTTGGGTTCTCATTATGTCAAAAGTAGGTTTCTCTAAAAAATACATATCATGCAATGCATTCATGGACTTTTCTTAAAAACCATGAAAATCTATGTTTTGGATAAAAATAATTATATGAATAAGGAAAGGGTATATTTTAGGTCTTGCATGTCATTTACATTTGTCATCATTTTAATCACTATTTTGCCTTCACTAGTTATGAATGATTCTGCAATGACAACTAAATTTTTACAAGTAAAAATATTCCATGGAGTTGCTCTTTTTTGTCATAAAAGCTGCATGCATATTATTATTATTATCATTATTATCATTGTGCATGCACCTAATAATACCATCACTAAACATTTAACATGTATCCTTGTAAATTATTATTATTATTATGTACATGCACCTTTTATTATGTCATTGAATATTTATACTCGTAAATTATTATTATTTTGCATGAACCTTTTATGATGCTATTGAATATTTATACTTGTAAATTATTATTATTATTATTCAGTATATGGGAGAAATGTTCAAGATTAGAGTATAGCATGTCACATCACAGGGCATGACAGCTTCTTATGAACTTTTTTCATATTTTATGTTAACCATCCAATTATAAAAAATTGCAATTTACAATTTCTTTAGTGCAGGGAATGAAATGTATTCATACGGTGCAGTTTTAGAACAGCATGTCATATGATAACAAAGCTGAATGCAAATTCGTTTTCATTTCCTTTGGCTCTTTATAAATATGTATGCTATCAAGTATCTTATCAGGATATTGCAGACAGCAGCGAATTCTATTCTGGGTGGCATGCGTTGTTCAGAGATTGATTTTGTATATTTGTTAGCAGCCGTGGTGAGATGATGCTAAGACTAACATCAGGCCTCTTTATCACTGACTGATGTTTGGCTGCTGATCTGATGACTGAGGCCTTTATACACGATGGCAGACGGGCTCTTGTGTCCGGTAATGCGATGTCAGTTCTTCACATCTGCTATGCTGGATCAAAGGGGAAGCCTGTACGGTCCAGCCGATCGCTCGCTCGCTCTCAGCCCTTCTGACTGCTTGTGCTCAAATAAAGAGGAGCCCAAATAGCCCGACTCCTGCAGGAACACATGTGAGACAGACACAGACAGAGAGAGAGAGACAGAGAGAGAGAATACGGTCTGCGTTAGAAGACGCTCATTTTCACCTTTCACACTTTCCCTTCTACATTCATCTAAAACAAAAAACCCATGCATACACTACCAGTCAAAAGTTATGATTGTATGATTTTGAAAGAAGTCTCTTCTGCTCACCAAGGCTGCATTTATTTGATCAAAAAACAGTAAAAATTGTGAAATATTATTAGAATGTAAAACAGCTGTTTTCTATGTGAATATCTGTTAAACTGTAATTTATTTCTGTGATCAAAGCTGTATTTTCAGCATCATTACTCCAGTCTTCAGTGTCACATGATCTTCAGAAATCAGTATAATATGCTGATTATTAGAAACATTTCTGATCATAATCAATGTTGAAAACAGTCGTGCTGCACAATATTTTTGTGGAAACTGTGATACATTTTATTTTTCAGGATTCACAGATGAACAGAAAGTTCAAAAGAACAGCATTTATTTGAAATAGAAATCTTCTGTAACAAACACTGACACTGAAGACTGGAGTAATGATGCTGAAAATACAGCTTTGATCACAGAAATAAATTAGAGTTTAACAGAGATTCACGTAGAAAACAGCTGTTTAATATTGTAATAATATTCCATAATTTTTACTGTATTTTTGATCAAAT